TACCAGGAGTGCAGGTTCTTCTACTCATATATTACTCTATGGACTCTAAATGACTAGGACAGTCTCAGAACCACTCCAAAGTATGCCCACCCCTTGAGCTTACCCTTTTTATCCCCAGCAGGAGAGAAGTATATAGGAGAGAACAGTGAACAACACATCCTCCAACTTTGCAGGATGTGATGAAGATACTGAGAAATCAATGCTGCCACTTTCACTGGTGTCCCATGGCACAAGCTGTGAGATTAGTCCCAGCTTGGCCCACTGTACTTGACTAGAGGGCCCAATTCGGCAGCGAAGTCTTATTCTCAGATCCTTTGTGTATTAGACTGGTTATCAGACTTTAAAACATGAGGCTGGGAGGGAAGGGACACAAAAAATATGTCTTTGCATTTCTGTGCTTGTAATATTAAACCTTTGTAAAGTATATGCCTCTCTCGATTTGGTCAAAGGGTTGGGTTCTGTCTGAATTCAAGTCCAATACCACACATCTAAGATTTCTTGAGGCTGTGGTTTCAAATCTGTACTAACAAGTTTCTGGGGTGAATAGAAGGCAGAGGCAGGTGAATAATCACTGCTAACAGTGGGGAAGTGCTTTATGTACTTAGCAATTAGAGGCTACATGCACAAAGTTGCCAGCTTGTTATTAAGGGTAGATTTGTGCCTTGCAAACAGATAGGTTGACGTAATGCAAGAGGTCCTTAAACTCGTTTTGCTGACAAATATAGTGACTCTTTACCTGAGCAATTATGTTAATTAGGAGCAAAATAAAGGTGAGGCATCCCACCTTCCTCCATTTTGTGCCTATACACTTTGCCCTGCGCCATTCTTTCTTGCAATCACTTTGTAACCATCTTGGAAGTCAAGAGAGTAAGACCATCTCACAGGCATCAACGACTCTTACCGTAACCAGGCCCTACTTGTTCCCTTGGCAATGACTATCAGGACACCTCTGGTCACCTGGTCACTGCTGAACAGGGACTGTGACTTAGGATTGTTTTAACTATGCATACCTTTACCTCACACTTCTTCTCCTATTCAACCTAAGACACCTATCGGTACCTTGAAGATGGCTGAAAGTAGACTGAAGTTCTACCTTATTTTGGTTTGCCTGTGCCATATAATTTTCTTCCTCTGCCCTTTACCATGTCTCTTTATTTGGCAAATAGCTGGACCAAGCAGCTGGATTCCCCAGTGTGGACCTGGAGTCAGAAACCTCTGGGTTCACCATTCCTCCTTGCTGTGAATGCAGTAATATTTGAACTTGAAATATTTACAGATGTGGTCAAGTTAAGGTGAGTTCATTATTGTGGTCTAAGCCAGCATGGCTGTCCTCCATATTGGAAGCCGACAGAAGCCGAGGAAGGACAGAGCCGGGAATGATGTAGCTTCAATGCCAGCTATGGCTGGTCATCACCAAATCTAGGGAAAGGCAGGGAAGAATCCTTCTCTCCTGTGGGTTTTGGAGGGAGCATGATCCTCTTAGCCTCTTGTCTTTGGATATTCAACATCTAGAATTGTGAGACAATTTCTGTTTTTTTTGGGGGGGGGGGGAGGGGTCCGGTCGTGGGGCCTGAACTCTGGGCCTGGGCGCTGTCTCTCAGCTCTTCAGCTCAAGGCTAGTGCTCTACCACTTGAGCCACAGCACCAATTCCGGCTTTTTTCTTTTTGCTTAAGTGGTGCTGAGGAATCGAACCCAGGGCCTCAGGCATGTAAGGCAAGCGCTCTACCACTGAGCCACGTTCCCAGCCCCCAATTTCTGTTGTTTTAAGTCACCCAGTTTATGGAAGTTTATTCTGGAGTTCCTGGAAAGCTGAACATTGTCCCAGTGATGTACTCATGGAGTCTGGTCTCTGAACCACGTGATCAGTGTAAGCAAGATTTGTTCAGAGACAACTCCATGCATCATGAATTTCTATCCACAAGAAACAATCTCTTATCCTGTGTTCCTCTTCATCACCTCATTGCACAAACACAAGGTATTAATTCACTACGGACTGCAATTATCTGCTCTATAAAGAAGTAAAACAGAAGGTATTCATTTACTAGAAGTTTCCATTGTCCGCTTTATAATAAGACAGATTCCAAAAAGTTAAAAGGTTTTTACATTTAGTTTTCCTATTTTCATGTTGATCATAGTTTAATTTGGCTTTGAAAGTTTTTCTTTTTTGGTTAGTATTTTAAGGTATTCACTTTAATCGACCACAGTAAAAGTTCTCCAGAAAACCTATAGATTTCATCTCTACTAGTAACATTTTCCAGATAGGAAATTATTATAGCATTGAAGTGCCAGAGACAGCTGAAAGCAATGGGTCATGCATTCAGCCCATTGTGGGCAGGAGCTGCCAAGTAATTCTCCGCTCACTTTTTTTGTCTACTTCTTATAAACAAGCTGTGTTCACAAGTTACTTTTTAAAAGCATGCTGATTTCCCCAGTGAATCACACAGAAAAGAATCTAGCATGCCCTCCAGAGTATTCAAAGAGTTGTTTGTTCTTAGAGCTCAGGTGTGGTAAACTAACTGGAGGCTAAAAAACCACACTGGATATTGGCCAGCAGGACTGCCCTCCTTTCTAGCTTGAATCTGAAAGTTGGTGTACAATTTAGCCTGCCTACAAGAAAGAAAGAAAGAAAGAAAGGTAGAAAGAAAGAAAGAAAGAAAGAAAGAAAGAAAGAAAGAAAGAAAGAAAGAAAGAAAGAAAGAAAGAAAGAGAAAGAAAGGAAGGAAGGAAGGAAGGAAGGAAGAAAGAAGAGGAAAAGAAAGAAAAGGAAGAAGAAAGGAAGAAAAGTTTCGAGAAAGAAAGAGGGAGGAAGGAAGGAAGAAAAAAGAAGGAAGAAGGGAGGATTCAATTTTCAATTTTAATTTAATTACACAATCTATAGTGTCCTGTGGAAGGATTTAGGGGCTAGCTTAATGCTTGCCAGTGTTCCATTTTGCATTTTTGTTGATAAAGATACTATACTGATTATCCAGAGTGAGTTTTGAAAAATGTCTCAAGAGCCAAATTCTTTTGGTAGCAGAATGATTTGAGAAAGGAAATTACTTCAAATTTTCACTTTTTACCATACTTTAGATAAATTAGAGATGAAGGATGCCTCTTTGGATTTTATAGTTAGATCTGAAAGCAGATCTCTAATTGAAAGAATGGAAGGAAATTCTGTTGGAGTATTAGAAATACTGGCTGACTAGGTACTGGTGGCTCACGCCTGTAGGCCTAGCTACCCACGGGGCTGAGATCTGAGGATCGAGGTTCAAAGCTTGCCTGGACTGAAAAGTCCTCATCAGACTCTTATCTCCAATTAGCTACTAGAAAACTGGAAGTGGCACTGTGGCTCAAAATGATAGAGCACTAGCTTTGAGCAAAAGAGCTCAGGGACAGCGCCTAAACCCCAAGTTCAAGCCCAGGACCTACCAAAAAGAAATGCAAACTGGTAGACAAGGAGTGTGCAATGCAACTATGTTTTCTGAGAACAATGGTATAAATAAAATGGGAAAGCCGTCTTCTCTTGTGTTAAAGTTCAAATTTCACTCTTTCATTATAGCTGGGAACTATTAAGATTGTATTTGGCATCAGGTCAGTATTTAAGAGGATGAGTAAATATTTGGTGTTCAGTTTTGTTTTCTATAATATTCTATTAGTTTATCCAAATATACAAAGAAAGAACAAAATACGGGAAATGAAAAATCTCCCTTAAGAGCAGCCCTCACTTTATTTTGGAACCATTGTTTTTACTTAATTGAATTAATGAGAAAATAAATCTCTTTATAAGGAAAAGTACTCTCCATGTGACTTAACTGAAAATGCTAGCAGGAAATTTTACAGGTTAACTGTGCTCAGCCTTGTGAGTGTACACAGTAAATGAAAATACAATAATGAACTAAGTTAAGAAGGTAAATGAGCTATGTGAAAAGGCCAACTGATTTAGCTATTTCACAATGATGATGTTCTCAAGTTTTAAGTTGGCTGTTCCTGCAAGTCAGCTTAAACAATTGTATTCCAAGGGCAAAAGACAGTTGATAAGCACTTGATTCAGCCTTCTGGCCTTACAGTAGAGTCCATTAATCAAATGAACTTGTGATGGTTGAAGCTTGATGAATTGCAGGGTATTTGGCTCAGAACTTAGTATTGGCAGATGGACAATGGTAACTAGAAGTGGAGCTGTTTTGGGGTGCACTGGAGGACTTTGAAAACATCTCCTTGTCATGTACAAATGTAGATTTCCCACTTTCCTCCTTGGTGAAGGTGAGTTATAATTTATACCAGGGACATAGAGATTTGCATCTGTGAGTGAAATCTAAGCAGTAATTTTGCTAAAGGCCAGTGTCTGCCTTCTCAGTCTGGTGCACAGGCCACAGGTGGAGACTTTGTAGCTCAATGGGCCTACAGAAGCTTCAGGTAGGGTGGACACCATGGGATTCTGGGGAAAGCCTTCCCTGGTTCACACCTATGTGTGGTTATATGCCTTAACTTCCTTCAAAAGTTATATAGAAGGACTCTATGTATCTGAAAATAAAGCACTAGTCCAGTAAGAAGATTGGTTAAGGAAAGAGTGTAGCAAATAGGAAGATGCCAACTAGATGGGAGGAGACAGGAAAGACCAGGATGGAAAGTTTAGGGGAAAGTGATATTCAGCTGAGTGGATTAACACTTGAGAAGATCACAGTCACTTGGATCTAGGGAATAATAGAAAAAGTTTCTATTTTCTGCCAAGGCAGTGGCCACAGTATGGTTAGAGGGACATGTATATATCAGGAATGCCACAGTCCACTAGTCTCCTGTTTGCCATTTGGAGTGGGATGGGGCAAAGGAAAGGAATAGTGTTGGAGACAGGTAAAGAAAGTCATGATCCTTCACGGTTGGCTGACTCATTTGTTCTCAGATCCAAAAAAAGATACATTGCTCATATCTAACAATCAGCATAAATCTTAACTTGTATAAATGTTTACACATTGGCATTTGAAATAAAATTCTATGTTATAGATTATGAGAATTAAAGAAATACCTGGTTGGCAATATGCTCCTGGAGTTTTTCTGTAATCACTGAAAGAGAAACAAAAAATAAATTTTATATGAAAGCATAAAAATCAATTAAAACATGCATATTGACTGTTCTGTTCTCAGTTGGAACTCCAATAGCAGGGTTGTATTGCAAATGGACATTTGAAATTATTCCAATAATGTGCGTATGTGGTGGTGGTGGGGGTGTGAATCAAAGCCTGAAAAACTGTATTAGGCCCAGATAACAGAAAATGGAAGGGAAATCCAATAAGACTGAAGAGAACTTTATACAACAGCTTGTCAACATGTTTCCAAAAAATGAAACACTATGGAAGTTAATGCCTAAACTGAGCTCATGAACTCTTGAGAGCCAGACAAGGAGATCTGAGGTGTTGATGGCTACTGCACCATTTTTGCTTGTTTTGTTTTGTTTTCTGCTCACACAGACTCTTAATTCCATAATATTTCTGCCTCATCTTCCCTTGCTGGGTTTACAGATATGGGCCTTGATGTTGGCAAGAAGTGATACTGAAAAATAATCTCTTTTATCTGGGGAATGACAAAGACATGCTAATACTTTGTTGGTACAGGATTCTTGGAGATGGAAATATAAGTAACATTTCTGTAGATGGTAAGTTGGTTGGGATAGAAGAAAAAAATTCAAGATTATGTCTGAAAGGTCATAGAGGGACATAAATATTAAGGATTCTAAAATATTGAATGTCATTCATTGTTGAATGCCTAAAAGAGGCCAATGCCACATCCATTTTAAATAGAATGAAGGAGAAGTCTTAGAAATGATAAATGAAGTAGAAGTCTTAGAAATGATAAAGAACCAACCACCAGAAAAATATGGAAAGATGAAATATGATAGCAGGGATTTTCCTTTTTGTGTGTGAACAACTCAGTATGTTACATACACTCTATGAAGCATGCCTTTTTAGATTAGCTTAATTTTAATTGAGATAATTGTAGAGTCATGTGTAGTTTTAATGAACAGCATAAAAGGATAATTTGTATCTTTTCCTCAATTTCCACCTATGGTAACATCTTGAAAAGCAAGACTCTTATATAAATGGAATAGGAAGTGGATATATGTGGCATGTAGCCTTTTGGGATTGGTGTCTTTCACTTAGTATACTTCTCTAGGGATTTATCCAGATTGATGTGTTTATCAGCAGTGTGTCCCTTTTTCTTGCTGAGTACTATTCCATGTTTGTACCATATTTTAACTATTCACTTACTCAAGGACATCTGGGTAGTTTTGAGGATTGGGCTACTATGAATGAAGTTTCTTCAGACATTTGTGTGTAAAAATTTATTTCTCTGGAGTAAATAGTTAGGGGTACAGTTGTATGGTAGTTGATATTTAGTTGTTTAAGAAACTGTCAAATATTTTAAAGCTGTATCAAGTGAAACTTACTCATTATTATTATTTGCTAAGCTTTGCACTAGCTTCCAATACGTTGAAGATAGCTGCTCCTGAGTCTAGCTCTCTCATGAAAAGAGAATTTGGTGAATTAAAAGAAATTATTAGATTTCCCATAAGAGGGCTTGAAATTGACTTCTTATGAAATATGGACTATAACAAATACTTTGTATTAGTTCCTAATGGATTCTCTAAGAATCTTTAAGTATTCTTTTTTTTTTTTTTTTGTCAGTCATGGGGCTTGAACTCTGGGCTTGGGTACTGTCCCTGCACTCTTCAGCTCAAGGCAAGCACTTCACTGCTTGAGCCACAATGCCACCTCTGGTTTTCTAGTGGTTTATTGGAGATAAGAGTCTCACGGCTTTTCTTGCCCAGGCTGGCTTTGAACTGAGATCCTCAGATCTCAGCCTCCTGAGTAGCTAGGATTATAGGCGTGAGCCACTGGCGCCCGGCTTAAAAGTATTCTTATACCAGGGATCAAAAGTTCCTTTGTTTGGTTATGTTTTATACAAGAACTTTAATATCATAGTCCTTTATTAAGAACATAACAAGTATTCCTAATTCTGGGACCTGAAATACAAGATAAAGATAACTCTAGACAACTTAGCTCATCATTTTTACTTTCCCAGAGGATCAATGACAGTCTAACCTGTCCTTTTAGTCTGAATTTAGCCAAGGGTCCATTTCTTTCATTAACTGCCATTTGCTAAAATCAAATTTTGTGGCATAGCTACAGTGAATATACATAACTTTTCTAAGATTCATATAACATTTCATTGTATACTATACGTAAACTTTAAAAAAATCACATTGTGGATATATAAGTAGAAACACTTTGTGTGGAATCTGATGTCCTGAGTGATGGTTAGGACTCTATGGCACAAACCTGGCTCACCAGATTGGGTACAAATTTCCTTGGCAAATATTCAGAGACAGTACAGAATTGAGTGAATCTGTTCCCAGGAAGGAAGAGGTAAGTGGCAGCAGGTGAGATGAGGCAGGGACCCTGTCCACGTACAACTCAGGCAACAAGGGAAGAACCCCCATGTTGGAAGACTGAGGGCAGAGACTGAGCAGCCTGCAGGGACTGAGGGCCAAGCAGTTAGCGAGTTAGCAGAGGAACAGGGTAATTCAGGAGGTAGACAGTTCATATCTGTAAGTTACAGCTACTCACATATGAGAAAAAAATCTCTTCCTTTGAGCTATTGCAATTCAAATAAATTCAAATATATTATCATATTACTATTCTGTCATCCTTGTGATTATGATTGTTACTAACAGTCATGTTTTTCTCTTGCTTATGGACAGTCTCAGCCTAGTGGAGATATACATATTTTTTAGTGCTTGCAAGAAAACAAGAGGGAATCCCAATCTAAAAAAACAAAAGGCCAAAAAACAAAAATCACAAAAACCTAAATCACCCTAGAGTTTATTCCACTCATATGTGAAAAAGAGAATTTAGAGAGATAAATTTTAACTGTGTAAGCTTCTGCTAATAAAAGATTAAGAAGCATGTGGTTTAGCATCTTTTAATTATTTAATATTTTTTTTTTTACCCTAGCATCTTGAATATACAGTGTTTGAGATCTCTCCTTGGAACAACACGATTTTGCTCAGAGGTTTGTGGACTTTGCATACTGATTCTTTCCTGTTTCCAAGTACATTTGCTTTTAGGCTATTTCTATTCACTTTAAAGGAATTTTAATAACTTTCTGTTGACAGCATGGACAGCTGGTCTTGGGAATTAAAGAAAATTCACTTGCTGACTGAGGAAGGAAGTGACATCAATGAGTTTCGGAAGTCAGCCCAGAGGGAGAAATCGGCTTGTGAGAGAGTAGCCTTTCATTGCACTGTATTTATCGAGCAATGCCTTGAGATGCAAATTGCTGTATCAATCAAACCTATGGTGCCTACCTCCAACCAACTCCGTGCAAACTGAAGGAACAATGCCCTGCAACACTAAGAAGAAAACGGATGAGGGGTGCAGGAACCTAGGGGCAAAGTGAATTACAGGGCACTCAGAAACTTGTCTCTCCAGTCTATATTTCATTCTCTGTCAGGCCTCAGTTTCTTTGTCTAGAAAATGAGTTTGATGCAAACCGTTGGTAGAAGCCAGTCCGTTTCTGTGACAGATGGCTAAGAAGGCCATGTACTAATCCATATAATGGAGACATTTTATCTTGCCACTTTTGTCCCAATGAGAGCTGTAAATCGCTTTCTGTCTCCTACTGGGAGCTATCTAGAAGCAGAGGTATTTAGATGTCATCTACAGTTACTACCCTGGTCTTTTGTTTTAAAAATCTGTGTTTGTGGCTTTATAACTTCACTGTAGAGCCAGTCAACAAATCAGAGCTTTCAGCAATAACAATAGTAATGCCATTTACCATCACAAGGAATACCATCATTCTTATGAGAATTTCCGTTGATCTTGGTGATCCAATTTTCCATGACAGCTGAGCTGCTTGTCAATTCCTCACATACATCTGGGTTGTGTCAGGGGAGAATGCTTGTGTGAGTGTGTATACACACCTGTGCATAAGAGACATGGAAATGTACCTAGGTGCATTTTACAGATATAAGGTACTAGGTTAAGTTGCTGACAGTTTAAGTGTGTGATGTAGAGACAGGGAAGGGGCCAGTAACAGTCAAAGAATTAGAGCTCAAGTTAAAGACCACAAATCATGGGAATAACTCACTTCAGGAAATGGATTAATTTCTTGATTTTCAGCATGTTTAGAACATTCAATCAATTTTCAGATTTTGGTCAACCTTAAGATTTATCTTGAACTAATAAAAGAAAGCACAGATGCCCCTCAATGGACAAACATACATACATACATACATACATACATACATACATACATACATACATACATATATATATACACAATGGAATTTTACTCATCCATTTGAAATAATGATACTGTATCATTTGCAAAGAAATAGAAAGACCTGGAAAAGATTTGTTAAGTGAAGTAAGTCAGGCCCAAAGATACAAAGGATGTTTGTTTTTCTTTAGAGGTAGAAGCTAGAATTAGCTTATAAGTTTGTATGTAAATACATTGGGTAGTATGCAAGTGTGTACAAATGTATTAACTGAACTATGGTAGATTCAAAGGAAAACTCAAATAGTATAATCTCTTAGAAAGGCAAAGGCAAAGTTCAACAAAGTAAACATTAGAAAGTGGGTACTCAACAGCAGTGGAGTGGGGTCCAGGGGAAAGGAGTAGACAAATGAAGAGGAGAAGAAGGGGAGAATGCAGACAAAAGTTCAATGTGTATCCCACAAAATTAAGAAGAGTAAAGGAAAGAGAGGGTAGAAGACTGATGCTTGGGAATGTTGAGAGAGGGAAAATTGATCAAGATGCATTGTATTCATAAACTGCTTTGTTAAATGACAACTCCTCTGTACAACCACTTAATGATATGTAATTTTTAAAACTCAATGATAAAAGGAATTTCACTTAAGAAACATCTAGATAATTTTCACCTGCTTTATTTTTCAAGCCGTAGGCTTTTCAGATCATCTTCCAAAGTGGAAATACTCTTTCTCTAATAAAATTCATCCATTTGATTCTACAATTATATTTAATGAGCATATATTCTTGACATA